TTTACATATGTCATAAACCCTACAATACATTGTTTTCATTTTTGCTTTAAATAGTCAATTATTTTAAAACGTGAAAAAAATATATATTTACTCCCGTAGTTACCATTTCTGGGGCTCTTCATTCTTTGTGTGTAGATCTAGTTTTAAATTTTTTTTTTTTTTTTTGCCTAAAAGACTTCAATTAACATTTTTTTGGTGCAGATCTGGTGCTGAATTCTTTCAGCTTTTTTATGCCTGAAGAAGTTTTTATTTCATCTTTGTTTTTGAAAGAGATTTTTGCTGGGTATAGAATTCTGAGTTGACAGCATTTTTCTTTCCACATTTAAGACCATTTCCATTGCTTTTTAAGTTTTGTTAGGCAGAACCAGAGTGACCTCAAGCAATACCCTTCTGAGTACTTTATTAGGTGTTCTATGTATTACAAGGCTTTTTCATTCTGATTGGTGGGGAATCCCACTGTTCCTGGCCCTCTGTGAACTCCCAGGATCATTTCGTTCTTTTCTCATGGTTCACTTCCAGCCTCAAGTGCTTTCCTCACCAGTATACACTGATCAGCACTCAGCTGAGGACTTGAGGAGAACCTGCAGATCTCTAGGGTTTTCTCTTTCTCTCTGGACAGGTCTCTCTTCTGCCCTATGAACTCTAGCCAATTTCTACCTAAATTCTCAACTCTGCCTTCTCAATTCAGGGAGACTGCTAGGATCCGTTTGGTTTCCTCTTCTGTGTGTTGTGGCCTGGAAACTCTTAGGCAGCGAGATGGGGCAATGAAAATGCTCATTTTGTTTCCTTTTTCTAGGGGCTACTCTACTACACTGCCTATTGTTAAATGTCTAAAAAACATTTTGTATTGATATTTTCCTTTCTTTAGTTATTTCAGGTTGTGAGTAAAACTCGTCCCTCTCCCTCCATCATGGCTGAAATGTTTTATTTGGAATTTTGATTGGAATTGATGAAAAAGTTGACATATATTATTCTTTCAAGAAAATGGTACAATTTATTTAGATTCCCTTTAAATCCTCCAGTGGATTTTACGGTCTTATACATTTGTACTGATGTTGCATTTAAAGGCCCCAATATAGGCTCCTTAACTTCTCTCATAAAATATTTTATTCTTACCCTGTAGGAAGTCAGCAATAGAGACAAAAGAGGACCCTGGAACTTCTGCTCCTTAGAGTAGCTCCTGGATCTATCCTCTTCCTCTCACCTCTGTAGATCAGAAGAAGAGCAGGGCCTGTTCCAGCTGACTCTTCCACGATGGCAGGGCAGCACTGAGCAGTTCTGGACTGGGAGGCTGGGGGTGGATGAAAGAACAGTAGAAGCATCCCTCATGGAACCTCAAGGTGGAAACTGGCTTAGAGCTGCTTCATATTGGCATGGCTTGCCTGAAGCTTTCTTCTACTTTTATCTATACTTAGGCATGGATGTATTATACTATGAGAAGTAAAACCTGAAGACTGAACTATTGGTCTACAGGGAGATGCTGTCATCTTTATTTGGTTGTGGGGTCACTACATCTACCTTATTTATGTTGTGGTCCTCTCTTTGACAGATGGTTACTAATTCACAGAAAGAAAATCATCTCTAATAATATCTCTGGGTTAAACAGGCATTTATGGGCCAGTTAGGGAAGTTGGGGACATGTGTTCTAAATGTCAACCAACCAATTTAGAAGCAAACTTGGAACTGAGTCTTCCTTCCTAAGCTGGGAACTGTCTGTTCTTATGAAATACATCTCTTGCAGTAATGACAATAATAAATTGAGGAGACCTCAGCTGACTACAGTTGACACCAGATGGGTAAACACCCATCCTAAGTAATGAGCTGGTTAATTATAGCTGTGTCATGTTTATAGACCTTCAATTAATCTCTTAAGAGTATATAACTTCATCACTTACAATGGCTCATAGCATCTGAGCAGGACTTTACAGAGGTCAGCCTTCTCCATTAACTCAAAATACATGTCTTAAGAATCAAAGGGCTGGGTGAAATTAGCTTATTTATTTTCCTTATACCTCTGTGTGGGAATCAACTTTTATAAAGCATTAAAAAATGGCAGGAGCCAGGCGTGGTGGCTCATGCCTGTAATCCTAGCTCTCTGGAAGGCCAAGGCAGGAGGATCACTTGAGGTCAGGAGTTCAAGGCCAGCCTCAGCAAGACAGAGACCCCGTCTCTATTAAAAATAGAAAGAAATTAATCGGACAACTAAAAATATATAGAAAAAATTAGCCAGGCATGGTGGCGCATGCCTGTAGTCCCAGCTACTCAGGAAGCTGAGGCAGGAGAATCGCTTGAGCCCAGGAGTTTGAGGTTGTTGTGAGCTAGGCTGACGTCACAGCACTCTAGCCCAGGCAACAGAGTGAGATTCTGTCTCAAAAAAAAAAAAAAAAAAATGGCAGGGCAAATAAAACAATGACAGGGAGATTTAAAAACATTTTATGGTACTCAACATAAACCCTACCCTCATACTTAGCCAAACAGTGATATGTATGTAACACCCTGGTCTCTAAAATGTGGGTGTATTCAGTCTTTCTGAAATGGTGAGTTGAGTGCCGTACTCGAACGTTGGCCCACTGACAGCTTTATTGGCAAAAGACAAATATCATTCTCACAAAATGCAATATACCTGGACACTCTGGAGACCCAATTCATCCTAACTGTGGGTCATGCTAGCTCAGGGCAGATAGCCTGGCTTGTCTATATTGCTCGGGCTCAGCTGTAGACCCATGGGTTGCAACCCTGATGCACATTATCATCACCTGCAGAACCACCCAGACCAAATACATCAGAAGCTCTGGGCTGGGCTCCAATCATCACTGTCTGAAGGAAGCTCTCCAGGTCATCCTAACACACAGCCAGGGCTGAGAACCACTGCTATAGACTAGAATAGTTGTGACCATCATGCCAAGCTTTAACACTCAAAGAATCTATGCAGAGTAGATTTAAATTCGTAATATAAAGCAGAAGTTATCTCTAGTTTTCCCAAGGCCTTTGCCAAGTAAGGAAAAATTGCCTATTTCTCCAGTAGCATCTATTTTAGATGACAACCTTCCATGCGTGTGTGTGTGTGTGTAACACACAGTCCTTTGGTTCTGCTTCCTACACAGCTTCTGAATCTTTTCCTTTCCTCTCTGCTACTACACTCTTCAGTGCAGACCTTCATCATCTCCCAAATTCCTCCCAACCTTCTGTTAGTGCTGCTCCCGTTGTTTCTCCCAAACCCCGAACATGTCTCTTCCCTTTTGTAACTCTCTTCAGTGGCTCCCTGCTGTCTGGAAGAAAACTCGGTGTCCTCATCTGGGCATCCAGGGCCTCTCATGACTAGGCTGGAGATTGATTACTCAAACCAGAAAGTCCCTTGAGGTCCTCATAGGTCCCTGAACGACCATTATCTTGGCTTCTGAGCCTTTGCCTGGGTGAACTGTACCTCACCACATCCTGCCAGAAGTCCCCATTCAAGGCTCTTCTTTCTAGTAAAAACTTCTCTGATCTTCCTGCCTCCCATTTCCCACCCTCCAGGTCTTTACTGCCTCTGTGCCAAAGCAAAGCCTATGTAAGCCTTGTATATGTGTGGCACCCAGTGGATGCTCAAAAAATTACTTAGAAAATAAATTTATCACACTATCAAAACTGGAATCTGTCTTCCCTGTTAGGTTCTGAGCTTTCTCTAAGGGCAATGGGTAACATGGTGTATGCAGTCGAAAAAGCAAACCTTTTGGAGACAGATTCGTGTTTAAAACTCCGCTCTGTCACTCACTAGCTGTAGGATACTGGGCAAGTTTAACTCTTTCCTCAGCTGTGAAATGAGGGTGACAATTCCTTGAAGAGTTACGAGGATTAGACACGGTGTGTGTATTATCAGATGTATAGTAGGTGACCAGGTATTAAGTATTTTCTTCCCTTGACTCCAACTTGCTTACAATTTACCAGGTATTCTGCAAAACACACCACTAGAAAGCTTTTGTTTTGGACTGTATGCTTCCAAATAACCAAGTGGTTCTATTCTGTATAAGTTAAACGTTTTGTTACATTTAAAAGCCCTCCTTTCTCCCATGCTAGTCATCAGGGGCATATTAAACCTAAGACCTTATTTGATTCCTCAAGCAGTCCTTTGCATTATTATCCCCACTTTATAGCTAAACAAACTGGAGCAAAGAGAAGGGAATGGATTTCCCTTTAGAAAGAAAGCTGGGGCTTTTCAGAATTCTGTCTATTGACTCTCAGCTCTGGGCTTTCTCTCTAATACCATGCTGACCTCACAGTCTTGTGAACGCATACTTTTAAATGCAACCACTTAGTGTTTTGAAATGAAAACCAACAGTCTGGCCGGGCACAGTGGCTCACGCCTGTAATCCTAGCACTTTGGGAGGCCTAGGTGGGAAGATTGCTTGAAGTTAGGAGTTTGAGATCAGCCTGAGCAATATTGAGACCCTGTCTCTACAAAAACCAATTTAAGAAAACTTAGCCTGGCATGGTGGTGCATGCCTGTAGTTCTAGCTACTGGAGAGGCTGAGGTAGGAGGATCGCTTGAGTCCAGGCAACAGAGTGAGACTCTGTCTTAAACAAAAAACCCAACAGTCCAATAATGACTGTTTTAAGGGTTTAAAGTAGTTATTTTACTCTTAAAAAAATTATTACATTCTAAAAAGTAGAGTCCTTTCAGCCCCACAATTTGGGACTGAAGAGTGGCTGACTACCACAACCCCTTGGACTTAACCTCTTGGAAACTTGGTTCCTTCATCTCTCGCTTAATAATAGTACCTGCCTTATGGGAGTATGAGAATTAAACACATACAACTCTAACACTCATGAAACAGGGTCTGGCACATGGTAGTACTCAGCATCAGCTATTACCATCGTCACCATGAGGGCTGTTTTACTTGGAGTTCTATCACATGGGACCTTTATTTACCATGCTCCATTGCAGGAAAGAACACAAAGAAAACATTCATTCCTTAATGCTTCTTGCTTAACTGAGAGCTCTAATAATAAAAAAGCAATTTAAGGCAAAAAAAAGTAACTTTATTGACTGCTAATCTTACCATGAAACATCTATAAGAAATAATTACAAAATAATGTTTTGGTTTTTTTTTTTAAACATACTTTTGGTATCATCCTGATATGATGATCCTTTCACAGAAAGGATTATTTACAGTTTATGTAGATATAAAGCTCATTGTTGCAAATACAAATGTAGATGTGTAGAGGCAATACATACCAAACTGGTATACTGAATAGCAATGGATACGTAAGAAACGCAGAATAAATAACAGCTTTATACTTTTCTTTTTATTTTTAAAAACAATTTCAAAATACAAAAATGTAGATTATTCAAAGTGGATTTTCATTTACATATATATATAATTCTGCTGGAAACAGTGGATTGAAAAGCAAAAGTGTTCCTTAGCATGTTTCATTTCTGAAAACCCACAAGACTATTCACAAATCCAATTAGAAAGAGGGTGTGCGAAACCACCAACAATGCTGGCAAAACCCTAAAGACCTGATTCTCGCTAAAGTAGAGAGAAAGTATAAAGCACTACCTGTTTATAGTTATTAAATGTTTTTTTCTTTATGTTTCTTTCTTAAATATGCCTTTTCTTTATGTTTGCAAGAAATTCTAAGAGCTAAGGAAATGCACTGCATTATGATCTGGGCTCTTTAGCGTACAAACTTCCCTAAGACTTGTCTGTCTCAAGCATCATCTATAAGAAATGGTGGATTATTTAATGACTTACAAGTAAAACAGCCATTAAATGATCCTTCCATATTTTTATCCTTTTACACAGAGACTGAGATACTTTTATACATTCTGATATCCGCAACTTTGGTTCTATTAAAGCATTTGATAAAAGCAAAATAATTACATGACCATAGAATTTTTTTCCTTTTAAAGTGTCAGGTGAAACTAATTTGACAAGGCATGTTGCATACATGTCTGCGACCCAGCAGCATAGGAGGGACAGCACAGGTGGGGTATGTTCACCATTTGTTTTATAATACTGACTCCCATCCCCAGGTAACACTGCTTATGTTCTGCTTTACCCTAACTCTATTTCTTTGTTACCTGAAAACATAATAGTTTTGTACAAAAATATGACTGTTTCTTTAGAAAATAATATATAGTTTTTTAATAAAACCTGGCAGATAGAAAAAATGGTATATCAAAATATGGTAAACAAATGTTGTAAAATACTAAATCATTAGAAACATCTCATAGAAAGACATTGTGCTATGAAGTTCTCTCCTGAAGCGTGAGCAACGCTTTTACTATACATCAAAAGGTTGATAAATTCAGTCTCTGACTTGGTTTCATTAAACGTCTAAACAGCAGCATGGCGGGTAACTGTCCTGTAAGTGGCCCTTTCTCATATGCCACATCTTCTGTATACTTTTACTTCAAAATTAACAAAAAGACACCCTCTGGATCAGTGGTTTTCAACCCTGTTGCACATTAACTCCATCTGGAGAACTTTAAAAGGCAACTCTACTTGGGTCCCACCACAAGAGACTGATTTAATGGGTCTGGTGGGAGGACCCAGACATTATTTTTTTAAAAGCTCCCCCGAATCTCTGTTCTACAATCAGGGTTGAGAATCATGGCCAAAGGCACATGAGGAAACAGTCATTCTTAACTCTACATTCAGCAACTGATTGTCTGCAGGGATCATTCATTCGGCAGCATACCCTCAATACTAAACAAAGAATTCCATGTACACAAGATAGTTATGGAAGCCAAAATGAAGACTTAGTAAGCTTTAAACACATATAAACACACACAATCCCATGTATTCATATATGTATAACATATACACATAGTTAGGGTATTTTGGTTAAGCAGAAACTAACATTATCATAATTTGTTCTTGAGTATTTAAAAAAACCTGAACAAACAAAACACCACCAAGCACAAACATTTTCTAAGATATCTCCATAGTTTTAACAGAAACCGGTTTTGCAAACTCCACAAAATGCATTATGACATGAACACAATTGATCTGTCACTTGGATGAGAAACTCAACAGAACTGTGGAGCTTTCTGGAAGATCAAAGAGGAGGACATAGCACTGATCAGGTGTGTAGGAGTCACAAGGCAAAACAGCATGCAGAGTCTTCAGGTTATTGCTTAATTCATGTCTTCTTGGACCTCTGAGCAGGTGCTTCCATTACGTGCACATCTTTGGCTTGCTAGAACCACATGATTGCCCACTTCATCAGTGTTCACTCTGGGACAGCCTCACTGAGAGGGCAATGGCTATGTACTAGGCAATGGTCTCTCTGCTAAAAGAAGAGAAAACCTTCCTCCTTCCCTCCCTCTAACCATGAACATTCTATGAGGGAGTGGTAAAAAAAAATTTACAAGCAAACCTAAAAACATCTTTCATGTGATAAAAAGTGTGATATTACGTGTAACTGACCTAAAAAACGACAAATGAGCAAACACACCACAGTCGGATACTCTGAAGGCTTGGTAATCAGTAAAGCGCACATCCTTCCAAAAGGTCAATGAACTTCTGGGCACTTGTCTTCCTGTACATTTTCTGTAGTTCTTTTACTTCTGTGTGATACTTAAAGTGCAATTGTCTCAAGGCTTTTGTTTCCATCACAAATATTATAAAGAAAGAGCTATGTTTGTGGTGAAGAAAATATGGCACGAATAATAAAGAACCCATGACTTTCACATCCTCAAGCAAACAGCAGGCTGCCAGTACAGCTGCACGCAGATGGACTTTATACGACAAACTCTGGAACCTCATCATGAGTAAGATCCAGAGAAAAGTATTTGCTGGTTCTTTTGACTGGAAAGGCATCTTGCATGTTGACGCACTGCTGAGCCAAGCAGCTGTTGCAATAGAGGCCTTCCTCGTCCAGTTCGTGGCCACATCCAAAGGTATAACTCTGAGCAGTGTCCTGACACAGACCTGCAATGCGCAGGAAGTCTTTCTGGTATAGTCTGATGTCATCAAGGCTCAAACTATGTCGATCCGTGGAGGTCTTTGGTTTTCGACATATAGTCTGCAAAATAGGAGATGGTTGAGACAACTTTAAGAGCATAGACTAAAGCGAAAGGTTAGCATGTTTGTCCTGTAAAGAGAGATGCTGCAAAATCAAAAAAGGTGAAGTAACCTTTGTATGTTAGAAAGTGGTTTCCAATCTATGTGGTTTCCAGGCCCCTAAGGCTCTGTGGGGAAATACGTCTACACCACCTCCACCAACGATAACAGCAGCTAACATTTACTGAACACTTACTTTGTGCCAGGCCCTGACCTAAATGCTCTGCATGTATTAACTCAATTAATCTCCCTAACAGCCCCATGAGGCAGGTGCTATTATTCCCCCCATTTTACAGATAAATAATCCAAGGCACAGAGATGAAGATACAACAGGAATCCAACCATTCTTAGCATTTCAGAAATCAAGCAATTATCTTAAAATAAGGCTATAAAGTGTTCTTGCTGCTAAAAGGTGGGCAAGCACAAGGACCAAGCAGCAGCCCCTGAACACTTCTGGGGGTCCCGTTCTGCCAAATGCTTTAGCTAGCAGAGAGCAGACTTTTGGAACTTATTATCCCAAGGGGTGGTGCTAGTGGCAAATATAAATAGGTTAAAAAATGGTTCAGTTAATTACATGGATGGACGATACTCACCAGATTACTTAAGAAAACTAGGCATTGTATCTCTAACTTTTGTTGCTTAACACCATAAAGGGCAATCTTGTTAGAATAAGATACTGCTTTTGCTAGACGCAAAAGTTCCAGGAGGACATTTTACTAGAAAGTATCTGAATGACACCCTCAGCATAGCACGATCCCTTGTACTGATGCAGTCTTTCCTGGCTCCAAGAGGATTTCACACATAAAATCATCTGGTCATCCCCACAAACTCTCAAGGCAGAGACACAAATGTTCTCCCCATGCTGTTAGGTGTAGAATCTGATTCTCAGCCACGCCCCACAAACATTTTTGCACAGTAAGAGTTAACACTGGGTGGCAGAGCCAGGGTGCAACCCAGCCGGGGTGACTCTGGAGCTTGCACTCCAACTCACCACGCTACACACACCGCTTTAAACATTACTCATCAGACTTTTCAGAAAATATTTAATAAATATCATTTTCACATTAAGGCTACTTTAATGAAAGTAAAGGAAAAATGAGAAAAAAGGAAAGAAAAAAGGGGAAAATATCAGGGACAAAGAGAGCCAGCATATAAGAGAAAGAAAGAAAGAAAAGAGAAAAACACATACAAAAGGGGGGAAAAAAAACCCAAAAAACAAAGAACAACAAGACACAAAGAAAGCCCATAAAAGAAAGGCACAGGAGGAGGGAGAGAGTGCTCAGAAAATAGAGGTTATTAGTTATAGATTATATCCAAATGCTGAAACCATGACTTTCAGAGTATTTTATCTATATCTTTTGACATTTTAATAGCTTAACCAGTGATCAAAGGCTGTCAAATGCTCCAGCTAAGGATATTTTAAAAATTCAATCTGAATGGAATAACCAGAGTGTGGAAACATTTCTGCCATAACACACCTGACAAGAATATTATTCTCCCAGGTTTCCGAGGTCAATCAATACACACACACACACACACACACACACACACACACACACACACCCTAAAGCCTGAAGACCAGAAGGTGTCCCACCTATATGAAGTGTGAAATTAAGTATATAATGTATCCAAATAATAATCAACTCAAAGATAAGTGGAACCAGCAAATAAAATGGAAATAAATCCATAATAAAACTAGAATGTATGTATCTGTTAGGATTCACTTTCTTAGGGTTTTAAATTTTTGCTTATTTGTATAAATACAAATGTAATTTCTTACTTAAAATTTTCTATAACTTCGGTTCCTAATTTAAACTTTTCAGTTCCTTTAGTACCTGTGGAAGAGAATCAGTACTCTGCCCACGAAGTTTGACAACTGTTTCTGAAGAGCTGGAGGTGGAAGAACCGATTTCTTTCACAATCAACCCTGAAACAAAACACAGAGGAAAAAAACAATGAATTCTTCAAATTATTCACAATTCTTGCTACATATTCCTACATATACTACTACCAGGAATGAAATTCTCTCTTGTCTTACGGTAAATAGAGGGTAGTGAGTAAATGTGGGGTTAGAGCGTAGAAAGGAGTTTAGAGTCTGAATTTTCTAAAATAAAATCCTAATTACGCTGTTTATGATGAAGTTAGAAATAAAAAACAAAGACTGTAGGTATAGAACAGTCTCTTTACTGTATCTCATAAAGCTTCCCCTCATTTCCTTCCCACACATCACCAATGTTGAACTTAATCCTTGCAGAGCAGTGGTGCAGCCTTCCAGGTTTCTTTCCACTTGGACGTGCAGTGGTGAACTGTGGGGGCTCGGCCTCTGGAGTCAGACTGATCTGGCTGGAACCTGGCCCAGACAAGTAATGGCTGTGTGTCCCGGCCCATCACTTAGGCTCCCTGTGTCTCAGCTCCCCTTGTATAAAATGGGGCCGATAACAGCACCTACCCAGGAGAGTTTTAATGACAACTCAATAGCAAATGCATGAAAAGGGTGAGGTATGGGGCCTGCACATGGACACAGCAAGTGGGAGCTCCGCTTGGCTGAGGGGACACTGTGGCACATACCTCCTGCAGCCGATCCCACAGGGAGGAGACCAAAATGGGAGGCCGCAGTGAAAATTCAGTACTGGGTCTTTGAGAACAATGGAGCCCCTAATCACCTCAGTGCTCAGGGGAGACCCACAAAATTTTGGGGAACAGAAATCCAAGGCTGACACTTCCCTATATGACTATGGCATGTGAGTGAAGCATCCAGAAAAAAATATTTTAGAAGGTAAAATTATCAACAAGAACTGGAGGTGTAAGTGAACACTACTGAAGTATTTCTTGCTGATAGATGAAGCAAGTGAGTAGGTCAAACCCTAGATCCAAAAGGCCAAACGTTTCTTAAGAAAAGTCCATCTCTACCTTATAGAAAAAGAAACTTGAGTAATGTGATTTTTATTCAACCACTGCTAGGAACCTACAGGAATGACTTTTTGTGTTCTAACCCTTAACTCTTTAGAGCTGTCTCATAATGATTGAGTGTCTAGCATATGCTTTGAATATATTAAGTGTTCAATCTAAACCTGAAATGTGAAGACATTTCTGATTTACATGCAGATAAGTTTAAAAACTCTCAGGTGACATTCATGTTTTGGGATTTAGTACAAATGGTTGTACTAGAGGGTCTTTCTATAGAAAGATCTTTCTCTTCTATAAAGCATTAAACCTTTGAACAAATCCTGATAGGAACATGTGGACTTGTGCACTGGTTGGCACTTGGTATGGTTCCTATTGGATATCCTGATAAATGTATCCCTGGCTACCAGGCCTGTAAATCATCTTCTCCAAACCCAGACCCACTAAAAGAAAGTCAGCATTGAGCCTGGTGCTCAAAACACTGAACCAACTCTTTCAACAAGAACGAAGGACAGTGGTATACTTCAACACAACTCCACCTCAGCTCAATGTTTTCAAGACAATGTTTAAATTCTCAAACTACAGAGAATTTGGAAAAGTAGGATGATGCAAGGAAGAGAATAAAATCACATATAATTCTATCACCCAGAGAAAAAGCTATTAATATTTTTATGTATTTTCTTTATTTTTTATATACACATAAACACTTTTATTTTTAAATTGGACTATACTGTATACAATTTCCACTGTTTTCCTTACCTATCTTTCTTATGTTACTAAATATTCCTTGAAAATCTCATATTTAATGACTATATAATATTCCACTGTATGAATAGAATGTAATTTAACCACTCATTGTTATTTTTTTGCTATAACATTTCAATAAACATATTTGTATATCAATCTTCTTACACAGCTATCCTATTTTATTTAAATTTTATTTCATTTTTTTAAATTTTTTTATTTCATAATCTTAAAATTATAAAATCAACAATCTTACAAAAATTAAATGTGGAAAAATATAAATACAAAGTATAATACAAGTCAGCTTCCCTCATATCCGCCCCCCTACCCACAGGCACTCTGGCATACACTGTTTTAGACCATTTCCTTTATATAAACATCTATACATAGAGCTATTCATGCATCCATAATGTGCATATAATTGTCAATTTATATTTAATATATATGAAAATGTATCTGCAAGAAGAAAATTCAATATCATAAAGCAAATGGGCAAAAAGGGCCACAGTTTGTATGTGAATTCTAAGCATGTCTATAGCAACCAGCCTGATGCGTCTGTGTTGCTCAGGGAGAGTAATTCTACACAGCCACAGGCAGGTCTGTTCTTGGAAGAGCATCTGGAGGCCATAGTTCTGCGGGTTAGCAAAGGGGATTCTGAAATAAAAGGCACCTCATGCTCTTGCAGAGTAAGTGCCAGGACGATGGGGACTGTGGCTTGGTCTTGTTCCGGGAGAGGCTCACTGAGCATTGGGGACTGCATGTTGGACAGGGCAGCAACAGGCTGCCCCAGTTGTAACAGGGTCTTTCGCTCAATCAAAGCTGGAAGTGACAGAACAATATGTACTTGGGCCACTTCAATAGTGGTGGTTCCTAAGGCACATTTCTCGAAAGAACAGAGACTAATTCATGACAAGTGACAAAAGCAGCTAGAAGTGACTGAGGTTTAAAAACAAAGCCCATACTGCTGCCTGTTTTTTTTAAGACAGATAGAAATGCATTTATTATATAAACCTATACTAAAATTACAGTGAATGTATGTTTTCTAGAAGAATTCATACCGATACAGAGTTTAAAAGTTTCTTTTTGGGTCAACTCTTTTGGACACTTTTTCTTCCAGACTCCTGTACCAGTAAAACAGAGTGGGAAAAATAAAACAAAACAGCAGAAGGCCCTGGATCCTGCAGTCTATGACACTGACCTGGAGAGGCTCTTATTCCAGTCCTCTCTCTGAACTACAGCTCCCACCCCACCCCTTCTATTTCCTGAGGCACCTGCTTCTCAGACCAGAATAATCTGCTGCCTAAGGAGAACTTCCCGTAAGAGCTCACCGGAGTGTCCATTCAGCTTCTGCGACATGAGCATGTCCTCTGTGATATAGATGCACATGTCTGGGCTGACTTCCAGAGACTCTTCATTCATCTGCTCCAGGTCCCGGGGGTCATCAACCAACATCTCTATTTCTGACACGGAAGAAGGAAAAGACGTCTAATGACATGAAGGGAAATGACCACCATAATCCACAGCCACACTTTGAGGGTGGCCATGTAATTTTCATATTTGAAAATAAATTCACTAATGAGACTCTTCAACAAGAAACTCTAGGGACCATTCTCAACTAGGTGCTACCTGTTCTCTTTTTCATAGGTTTACTGTGTTATCTACGTATCTTCTCATGCCAGGATAATTATCAGTTATTTCTTACTCTTTAAGACAGAAGAAAAACTGTACTACCTTGCTGCAATGACAAATGGCAAAGTGAAACTCATGAGCCGTTTGCCTAATGCCAAAGCAAGGATCGTTGACACAGGCAGCTGAGTGGGCCACAGAATTCCCCATTCCCACAGCTGCCCACTCTCAGGGCACTGAGTGACTTGATTTGAGATCCACACAAATGCTATAGGAACCAAACATATGTCCTGCAGTTTTCCTTAAGAGAGTCAATATCTTTTCCCTCAACCTGAATGCTATAGCATTTATTTGCGACAGAGAAGTAATATAAAAGAGGTACACGAATGCTAAGTTCAGCTGACATAGGCTGTGGTCTTAATCTGTTTAAAACAAAGTAAGTTCCTAGCAGCCAGGTGCTATATATTTTTTTATACTCCTGATAGTTTTGGTCACATGGGAGGCACATAAGAAATACTTTCCTACTTAACTCAATGGCATGGACTCAAATCTTTATAGGGGTAGGGAGGGTGTATGTCCAGGAGTTCAAGATGTTTCCATCACTCTCACTGCACTCCACTCTGCTGTCCTAACCATTGCCTTACTACTCCGGGAATCAGAAACACAGAGATGAGGGCTGTAGAACTAATCTCTTCTTACTTCATATGAACGGCTAAGACTTAGGGTCCACACCGTCCACCCTGTGGCTGCAGAGGTTCAAGACTAGATGGATGCTTTGCTCACAGCCAAACACAAGCAACTCAACCAAGTCACCACGGAATAAGGCAAGATACTTCTTCTCTATTACTACTACTTAAAGTTGCTCCCCAGATAGCCATTCTACAGAATCAATACCTGAAAAAACTGGGGGAGAAAAAGAAAAGAGCCAGTGAGGGGACAGTACTGTTACCATCATCCTGGGAGTCCTCTTCCAGTCGGTCTTTGCCTCCGCTCTCTACCCCTGACGTGTGGGAGCTGCCGTGGCTGGTCATTGAGCTGCAGGTTTTCAGCTTGCGGTGGACAGCGCTGCCGGAATAGCTGTCCTCCGGCCCTGTGTCCCGGGGCTTGGTGTCGGCCTCAATGCCTGAGGTGTGGGAACTGCTGTGGCTGGCAGTGGAATGACGGGACAGGCGCTTGTGCTTCATGCTGCCTGCGCTGCTGCCACTGGCCCGTGATCGCTTTTCTAGCTGGTCCATGTCGAGGTCCAGGTTGTCGCTGATGTAAGATTCCCGGTACTGCTTCTTCTCTGTGGCAAGGAACACAGCTCATCATTATATTCAACCAAGACAGAAGGAGCAGCTGGTTAGCTTAAGTGAGTCATCAAGACAAGAACAAGGACAATCTCACACTCAGAATCTAGTGACTAGAAAGTAGTGATACTTTAGATAGGAGCTTGTCTGAAGAAGACTGCAAAATGAAAACTAAAAAAAACAGTACAACAGATTTGAGGGGAATATTTAAACTACTTAAAGAGTTTTGAAGCTTCAGGCACTAGAAGAAGAGTGCTATTAAAGTGCAGTTGCAGACCACCTCTTGTATGCAAACTGTTACTGGTCCACAGTAAAATAAGTTCAGTAACTGAGAATGAACGTTTAGAAACTTACATAGCTATTGGACATTGCCATGACAGCCACTAATGTGATTTTGCATTTTGTGAAAGTATCAGTCCATAGCACATTAGATATTTTAAAAATCTGGCCCTTCTCCATAGATAATTTCAGAAGCACTGCTAAAGAAGACTACTTAATAAATATAATTATGCTAATTGCCTTTCATTTTATTTGTTCATTTGCTCCAATTTGTTCCATTGTTAGCTTAGCTCTAGCTGCTGAATAAAATTTAAAATGAAATTATTCTTCTGAGAATTTCCTGCAAAAATTCTAAAATTTAGATTTTCATTAATATGATTGCCTTTTCTCCATGTAGGCTGAATTAATGAGGCTTTATCATCTTTAGAAAACACAGTAATCACTACTGGTTTGATGATCTCTGATTGGTAAATTGTTCTTTGACTTAAAATGTCAGTGCTGTTCCTTAGTGTAGTCAAAGACACAACATTGGGAAGTCCCTTTTATCAAATGCTAAATTAACCATGAAGGCACAAAGTTACAACACAGCTGCAGGTATACAACTGACACAAAAAATGTTTTTGTGTTTCAGGACAGAAATTTAAAACAAAGAAACATTTTAGCTTCCTTGCCTTCTTAACGCTGATGAGAAATAACACACTGGAACAATGTTAAAAATGGAGAGTGCATTTGGGGAATGTGAAGTTGATATCATTTTAGAAACCGCTAACTAGCAGGCTAATTGGGTTCTCAGGGGACTGTTAACGGATTTAATTGCCTTGTTTCTTGGTTAAGTGAAAATACTTGCACTCCTGACATCTGAATCCAGCTATGAAGTATAATCACCACAGGCTCTCCAGACACACCTTCCAGGATGCAAAATGCAAAAAGTGCTTTGGAGAAGGCTATGTGTACATTTCTGGGCTCCAGCCCATTCATGTCATTCTAAGGCAGCGGTCTCCAACCTTTTTGGCACCAGGGACTGGTTTCATGGAAGACAATTTTTCCATGGAAGGGGGTGGTGTGCGGAGGAGCTCTGTGGCCTGGTTCCTAACAGGCCACAGGTGGGTACCAATCCACAGCCTGGGGGTTGGGGCCCACAGTTCTAAGAGATCAGGCTGAAACGCAAAGGCGAGTATGTGTAGCCACACAGAGAGCCAGCTGGAAACGACACCAGAGCCCAACACACACATCATTCACAACGAAAGTGCACCAAGTACAACTCATCGTTCAGGGAGCAGACTGGGTTCTAATGATCCCTTATCGTCTACAGTCAACTGGGGTAGAGATGAAGATGAAGAGCTAAAGGGACTTACACAATTCTCATACAATTTCTATTCACTGCAGTTTCATGATAATTAGCTATGTGGCCCTTAGAAGGGTGGAAAGTGAAGAGAAAAAAGTAAAAAATGTCTATAAGGTATTGGAGTTCTATAGCTTTAAGACAATTAGCAATTGTCAATCTAATCATTTAAAAGCTTTTCTGCCTCCTTACAAACAGCTTTTATACTCCCAACTTCCTGATAGGTTCAGAGCCAATTACAGTTATTCTATATTCATAAGATAAGTACTTGCCAGCCTGCCTTCCACCTGATAGGAGCCTAGCGTAAATCATATTTCTCGTCGCCTTGTCAGGGCAGCAGCCTTAGTGTTCCATGCCGCTGGCTTCTCTTCCCTTCCTAGTGCGGTATCATTTAGACCCTTTGCAAACATTTAAGAAGCTTCACACCACCCAGTTACAAATTGAGGGAAACGTTTAAATAATTCTGAATTATTGTAAGAAACACAAAACGCAACCTCTCTTTGCCTGATAATCACTGGTGTCAGCAGTGTGGATCATCAATATGTCTGTGTTCTTTTTATTCTCTCTGTCATAAAAGCCCAGAGACAACAAAGTTTTTCATACATGATTTTGGAATATAATGTAGTAAATGTGACCTCTTGACCTAAGAATAAGCTTGAGCTATTGAATAAAGTTGGCTTAAATTTTTTTTTAATGACACAAGGCATGTTTTTCCTTCTCTTCTGAACCCTATGTAAGAATTCTTGTGATCATTTTCTACTATAAAATACTAAAATAGTGTTTCAGACAAGGTGACTCTAAATGAAATGTAATTAAGAAAAACACTGACTCTCTTTGTGCTGTTTGCTAACCTGATGCCAAGAAAAGGGCTTTCCTTGTTAAAATGATGGAGTCCTTCAGTGTGGGTAAGATAATTGGATTCAGGCCAAAGCTGGCCCAGAGAAACTCGGTTTTAGGCCTGCTTCAGATGTGGAGGCACTGCTAAGTAGAAGAAACTAAGTATGTTTTCTTTGGAAGAAGAAAACAAGGATTCCTCCCAAATCTGTCTACATTCATCCAAATATAAGATCCAGTTAACAATTTGTGTCTTCATCATTCCTTCATTGCCTGTTGTATAGTTTGAATGTTTGTACCACCCTCCTAAACTCGTTTTAAGATCTAATTGTCACTGTGACAGTATTAAGATGTGGGACCTTTAAGAGATGATTGGGCCACGAGGGCTCTGCCTTCATAAATGGATTAATGTCATTATTGCAGGCAGGGGTTCATTATAAAAGGGGGAGCTCAGCTCCTTTTAGTCTCTCTCTCTCTTGCCCCCTCTTTGCCCTTTTACCTTCCACCATGGGATGACACAGCAAGAAGGCCCTTGTCAGACGTTGGCCCCTTGATCTTGGAATACGCAGCCTCAAGAACTGAGAAAATAAACTTCTGTTCTTTATAAATTACCCAGTCTCTGGTCTTTTGTTGTAGCAGCACAAAACAGACTAAGACACCTACTCACTTAAGCCCCCAAATATACTTGGTACTATGCTTGGCAATGGACAAAGCCTTGCCCCTCTAAGAACTCAAAATTCTTTGTAATTTGACCTTAGAACCTATAGAGGAAGTCATTAATTCTTTCAGGCTCTAAAGGGTTCCTTTAAGGTTATATAAACAAGAATTTACTAAAATGCTGCAGGTAGAGAGCAGATGGAATAAAGGAACTTCTCAAGGTGCCATGTAGGCCATTTAGGACTGAGGCAGACTTGGCAAACTATGGGCTATGCGCCTAATTAAGTCACCTATCCTCACAAGTTCCCATGGTGTTTCTGTCCCCATCTGAGTTCCTCTTAGCATTCATGTCAGCACAGGAGAGATATATTTGTTACACTGATGAGTCACTGTGGGGAAGAACTGGCAGTCTGGCAGCAGTGGAAGCCAATACACCTGACAGTTATACCAATTCTCTCCAAAGACAGATGCAGTTTGGTGGCAGACAGTGGGGGAATGATTCATGTTCTAATTGCTACTAAATTACACAGGAGTCTCCAAACAGGGTCTCATTTGGACTGAGAAATAGTTTTTGAGAGAAATCCATCAGAAGCATAAACTGCTACAAGGTCTTTTGTTTGTTTAAGAGAGAATGGGTGTTTGTCTTGCTTCTGTAAGAAAGTAAGATCTGAGGGGTGGAAACTTGTTTCAGCCATGAATCTAAGATATGAATCTGCATCCTGATATTCATGCAAATACTCCAAATCTAATCGAATAGAATTACCGTAAGATCAAAAGAATTACTACAACATGAATTTGCAAGACAAATTAAAAACATTAAAAAATAAATATGCAACATAGAATTTTTGGTGATTAGAAGTTGGGGTGTGTTAAATGGAGAAACCCTAGGGTGTCACAACTCAAGATAATGGGCTAACCATTACATTAACATTGTAAAGCTGAAGTCTGATGGTAGAGGCCCCCCACATTGCACTGTTCTTCTCATCCTGACTTGCCCCTCTTCTTAGGGCCCAGTACTCTAGGGCCCCAGATAGATTGCTCTACCCCATCTGTATCTCAGCAAAGCCCCCACAGAACTACCTGACAAAATGCTCAAATAAAAACTTCCCTCTTCTTTGTCATTCTTGCTGGGCCAGACTTGGAGGCCTCTCAGCTGTCAATCAGAGAGGATGGAGACACATCTGTGACCCATCTTTATTATCACTCTGACCTAAGGAATACTCACACTGGAAGGAATTCCAGACTGCTTGTGGATAATATGACTAAGGTAGGCCATTGTATATACAGAGCTCTGAGATGCAGATAAAATCCGAGCTGCAGATAAACCCTTGCCCTGTGCCTTTATAAGGTGGGTATTTGCAAGGATTTTCAAGTTAGGCATGGGGAAACCTTAAAGAGATTATACTTGAGAGATAGCTAAATGCCTGCAGTAACCTCAGATATTATGAATAGGTGCTATGCTAACTGGCCCTCAAGCCCAGCCCCTTGTCTTCTGGAACAGTGCTGAGATGTAAATGGAAATGCTGCTCTAAATCCGGACAGTCCCAGTCCTAGTCCCCAAATCCCATTCTCTCTTTAAACTGGAGTTTAAAACCCCAGTTCATGCAGCTACAGAATAAGAGGCCATAGGTGCAAAGGCACCATTTTCTTCCCCACCCCGAGACCCTGCAATACCTTCGTTTTCCTCCAGCTTTCGGATGTGGCGCAGGACAGGCTGCAGGTTCATGTAGAGGCGGTGGCTGTTGCTCAGAAGTTGAAGGAGGTGTCTGGAGCGCATGGGGCACCCCGTGTAGTATATGAGCTTCCTGGCCGAGGGCAAGCCATCTGGCAAAATCTCAAATTTCTTACCCTGTGGAGGGAAAGCATGAATCAAATTCAAGAAGAAAAATCTCTGATTTGACAAGGTCCCCTTCATTTTTTATTTACTAAAGATAACTACAGATTCAGAAATAGATGTCTAAAGCTCCATTTAAAATTCTCTGAGGGATAAGTTATTATTTTCCCTTTCAAAAATGTCATAAGACAGGCAGGGCATGGTGGCTCACGCCTGTAATCCTAGCACTCTGGGAGGCCGAGGCGGGCGGATCGTTTGAGCTCAGGAGTTTGAGATCAGCTCTGAGCAAGAACAAAACCCCGCCTCTACTAAAAATAGAAAGAAATTAGATGGACAACTAAAAATATACAGAAAAAATGAGCCAGGCATGGTGGCGCATGCCTGTAGTCCTAGCTACTCGGGAGGCTGAGGCAGGATTGCTTGAGCCCAGGAGTTTGAGGTTGCTATGAGCTAGGCTGATGCCATGGCACTCTAGCCTGGGCAACACAGTAAGACTCTGTCTCAAAAAAAAAAAAAAAAAAAAAAAAGTCACAGGACAGAGGATTACTAAAAATTTCAGGGAAAAATGGCTTCAGGGAAGCATCTAGCCAGGGTCCCGGTAAACACTACACAAGATAGCTAAGGATATCTTTGGATTCTCTGGCTAGTGAGGCTATTTGTACAATGGAGAAGAAGGGCACCCTCAAATGGAATTCCAACACCCTAACTCAGCAAACAAGATGACAAATTCTAGAAGAGATGAATGCATTCATATATTTATTGAATACTTACTATGTACCAAGCACTGTGCTAGGCACTGAAACAATAACAGCAAATGAGACAGATAAGGTTCCTCCCCTCATGGAGCTACATGCCAGTGGGAGAAACGGTAAATAAACACATAAAATAATTACAGTTTATGATAAATTTGGGAAAGAAATAAATACAGTAAACAATACAGGATATCTATTTAGGGTTTAGAAAAAATGGAGAACTTCTCTAGCTGGACAAAAGGGGAAGCTGGCAGTTGGGGGGTGAGATGAGAAAGGGAAGGGGCAGCCATCAGCAGAGACAGAAGGAATCTCATTCTTCAAGTCTAGGATCACTAACATAAAGTCCTAAGTTGAGGGGGAGGGTTTGGCAAAGTTCCTTACAGTTATGAGATCTTACGAATTCTTTTAACTTTTCTAATAACGAATAAGGCAACAGAATTACAAAAAGGAATATTTCAGATAAAATGGTTCTCAGCCGGAGGGCAAGGTAAAGCAGGCAGGGAGGCAAATTCTAACTACACTCTTTAAACTCGGTACAAAGCAACATGGATTTGTGTTGCCTAGACAGGGATGGGATATTTTTTAACCTCTGGGTTTTTGATTTTAAAGGAACCACCAGTGGATCCTGATACTGAAATAGTAATAGCTGACATTTATGGAGCACTAAGCACCTATTAACACATTTAATCTTCACAATAGGTCTATGGGGGAGGACTAATTATCCCATCTTAGAATGAAACCAAGGCACAGAGAGGTTACATAACTTGCTCAAGGTCCCCTGGCTAGGCAGGGCTGGGTTAGGTGCAAGAAGAATCACCTGGGAAACTTGTCAAAATAGATTCCTGGTCTCTATCCCAGACCCACGGAGTCAAAAATCTCTTGGGGGAGGAGCATTAACCCCAGAAATCTGTATCTTTAATAAGTTCCTCAGATAAGACTGATGCACAACTATTATAGATTCAGTAACCACTGAGTCCAGGACCCTAAAAGAACTCAATTTCATAAATGCATTTTATTCCTGCTTAATTTGGGACATGAAAGGGGCAAGTAGGGTTATAATTTGCTCATTTTCAAACAGCTCAGATCCTTCACAAAGGGCTTGAACAAGAAAGAGCCAGTGAGGAGGAAGCAGGCCAGACCCCATCTAATGTATGAGTAAAGTGAAATCAGGTTGAACTGTGCCCAAGTAATTAAAGTAATGTGAAATCAGAAACAGCTCTTTTAAAGTAATATGAAATCAGAAACAGGTCCTTTGACTCACAGGGCAGTGTGGGGTCAGTGCCCCCATTTTATTTGCAATACAGCCCTTTATTTACATAGGCCATCTTCCTTACAGGAGAGAAATACATGTCTATAAATCCTTATCTTCCTCCTTTCTTTGTGTATTTTTTCCAATTATTTCTTAACAAAGAATTACAGATTTTAATGACCACTAGATGTGCACATTATTAACCATAATTCTTTGAACTCTATCAAAAAATGGACATAGCTGGCAAAATAGAGAAATAGCTGGGAAAAATTTGCTTTAACAAAAGAAAGTGTATCATTTTCAATATTGTAAAAATAAAAATACTTTTCCTGTTAAGAATTGTAGATCTTTCTTTAAAAAGATGAGTTTTAAATAGTCAGATATTAATAGAAACATCTTTTTATATAACTCTTTATTCTTTGCTCAAAAGAAGTAACTTCTAAAAGAACTGGCCAACCTCCATACTAAGAATAATTTACCCTGTGATTATGGCTTTCTGTTTTCCAATCCCTCTGCTGCAGGCTTTTTTATGATAATTCTATTTATGAGCTCATCTTATACCTTTCTCACCACACTTCTTCTGCAACCAGAATAATGTAGGGTAGTATGGTAGGGACCAGACACACAAATTAAAATTAGTGATTTCTTTTGCTGTAAGATTCTTTGATTTCAAGTTCACTACTGATATGAGTACCAAGAGTTATAACATATGCATACACATACAGGAAAGCAAATTATCTTCAGCTTCAACTTTTTAAAAATAACAACTTCTGTGCCTGAGACAATGTTGTTTAAAAACAAAAGCCAAAAAATAACAAAAATCCACAAAAACAAACAACTGAAGAGACTTTTTAAAAAAGTAGGTTATTTTAAACTTACCACAAACACCAACTTTCCAACATTTGTCCAGGGGAAATCATAAAGTAATTGTTTCTCTTCATCTATATTCTGCGGAAGGAATCAAAATGCGTATAGAGTTAATGGGAAAAATGACAGATACTCTAAAAGGGCTCTAATTTCTCTCCCAGAAAACTAAAATACAGTAATTAAAATCTGAAAGAGGTCCCCAACTCTCTTTGGAGAAGTGCAGATAGTGATTAAAAAGATTAGTGATACAAGTCTGTAGCTTCTGGTTCCTGCGTGACTGCATTAACTGGCCCTTTGTTTTTCCTTCTGGCCTATCCCCAAATTTAAATAAAAAGCCCAAAAGACTCAGGCATTCAAGAGATACGATAAAGCACTCAGACTTTCATAACTGGATATTCTGTCTACATCAAAGATAAGACATCTTTATATTTTCTTATGTCTTGCAGAAAGAGGTGTTCTCTCTCCCCTGTTGATGGCTGCAGGATAACACCATCCCACCTGTTTAAGGGTGACAGTTACTACTTACTCAAGGAACAAGTTTTATCAGAAAAGTGTAATGGAAATTAAAACGTCTGGCCAGGCACCATGCTAAAATGTCATTTTTCTTTCCACAGTTATAAATGCTCCAGAGGATAAAAGAAAATATTTAAAATCAATGACCAAGAGAAATGTTTAGATATTAATGATCTGTTAGTGATCTGTTAGTGATGAACCTGGGCTAATCTTTGGCTTGTTGTTTTCTGTTACAGAGGACTTAGTACTGTCAAGGATCAGGTTAAGTCACTTTATCCACATCTGTTCGTCCACATCTGTTCTAGATAAGTAGGAAATGACTAGTCAATGGCTGAAAATGAACCACTGAACCTATGGCAGGACCACACAGGCACACTGTAAATGCAAGACATGGTCAATAGCATTTGACACTTATATCTCATTTACCAACCTGAAAAATCTGTATTCCTCTCATGGTCAATCCAAGGGTCAGTGAAGCTTCAATTTCCCTTTTATCCTATAGGAATAAGATTTTATGAAAAAGTATATTTTCTTCTATAGTGGATAATTCAGCACCAAAGAAATATGGAGAGAAATTTCAGGATAAGAAAGTTTTTGACTTAAAATAACTGCTCAAGTCTTTCCACATCCCTAGTTTCTTATAAGATTTAAGAAAAATCATGGGCACATATTAAATCAATAACGGTATATTCTATACTTCTTAAATCTCTGAGATCTCAAAGTTCAGTGTTTTCACTATAATATACACTTTCATATCTGACAATATTCTAAATATTTATGTTATTGAGAACTCTAGTAAACAAGAATATTTTTGCAGTTTTTGTATCATTTAATTTTTTTAAGTCTTCCATCTTATGCTTACTCTTTTCTCAGATATTAGAATTTTAATCGAATGTAGTAGTTATATTTTGAGATGCATCAAATTTTGTATGTTTAAAACTGGGCAAATCTCCCAGCCCTGAAGCCAAAACTAGAGGCAAATTGACTAAATATTTAAGACTCTCTCATGAGGATAAATAATAAAGTTGTAAAAGCTTTACTTTTCAGTTCACTTGGAAATACTTATTTTTAAGAAGTTCCATTATCACTTGCCAATATGATACACAGTCTACCAGCTAAACTATAAACTATAAAAAATAAACTACAACATGCATAAGTAAAAAAATTCTACAATTAAAAATGTACCCTAAAATTTGGCCACATCTTTTAACTGCTCATAATGTAATAAGTATATACAAGGTATGAAGTTCAGAAAAGAAGATAAATAAAATTGCGCAAGTATTTTCATTAAGAGATTTCTCAACAAAAACAAATGGATATGTGCATATCTTTGTTAAGTTTAGTGTCGATTTTCCCATGAATATGGGAAGAAATAATTTTAGAATACCCTTAGCTGGCTTAGTAAAGAGAAAACAGCCTATTTTCACTATTTAGGCTGTTTCTTTCCAACTAGTATATTTTTACATCAATAAAGCATAAGGTTTAAAAGGAGAAACCAACCCATCACTGTGTGTGTTTAGGCCGATTTCCCTTTCAAGGCTGTACTGATCACTTTCCAAAATAAGACCGCGCTCACAAAAATGCTGGTTGTTCACGTACGAGGTGTGTACTGGTGGGAGAGGGGCAGAAAATGATTTTCTCAGAGTGTTTCCTGCCTTTTGTCTACTGTATTTCCAGGTTATGAGCAGCCCCTAAGTAAAGCAGGTTCAATGGCTACCACTTGATTTCTCCAAAGAACGAAAACTGCCCATCAGGTAACAATATCTATTCTCCCATTTAATTGAGTTACATTTTTATTAAATATCTTGTTTTAAGCAGAAAAGAGTCATTTTCTATGCAATTTAGAAATACCACACTTTAAGCAGATTTGAAAATTAATTTTTACATAAAAGGCAAATTGGGGATATCTACTTCACCAAAAGATTTTTATTTCTTTTTCCTTTTTCTCTTTAAATAATTATTTCAAAATATTAGGGGGTACAAGTGTTGTTACACAGATGAATTGCATAATGCTGAAGTCAATGCTTTTAGTGTGCCTGTCACCAGAATAGTGCACATTGTACCTGATAGGTAAGATTTGATATCCCTCAGCCCCCTCTTACCCTCACCCCTTCTTAACTTCCAAAGTCTATTACACCACTTAAAGACCATGTGCATCTACTGTTTAGCTCCCACTTATTAGTGAGAACATGTGGTGTTTGATTTTTATTTCTTAACAGGATTTGTTAAAATAGCAAGCCTCCTGGCAAATAAGGCAAGAAGCAATTAATATTTATTAAGCACTCACTAATGTTCCAGGTATTTCACCCTTGTTATTTCAAATTCATTATCTCATTGAATCCTCCCAACCTTGTGAAGTACATTGTATCACTCCCACCTAATAGATGGCTCAGGATTACAGTTGTAGTTGCCTGGGACACCAGTAACAGTGAATAGTGACATAGAGTTTCTAATTGATACCTGATTCTAAGGCCACAGTCTCTCCAACATATCATTCATACTTATAATACATTTTAAGATATAAACCGGTTGTCAAAAATGCAACTTTTTTGCCTTTTCTCATGTAAATTGTGTGTCACAAATGAAATCTCTTAAGGGAGTGAAAAAAATCCCACAACTCAGTCCTTTAGGAATTGAGCCAAAGGGATCTTATGAAACTCAATTATGCCTTTCAAGGATGATGGGGCATTAACAATGCATCTCTTGGGCATGGAAGAGAGACAGAAAAACCATCAGTTGGTCCCTTATTAAGTTTTCTGAACCAGCTTAGAAGATTACCAAGCAATGTATCCAAACAAACTACAGCCTCATCTCCAATGGTCCAGTTATGCTAATCTCACCACAACGGTTGTAGTAGAGTTAATGAGCACAGTATCAACAATGGTAATGCTAACAGCAGCAAGCGTGACATCATGCTTAACCTGTGAATTGTTTTGAGGACTTTTTATCCATTAATTCCTTTAGCCTTCAGTGATCCTAAGAGGAGGGTATGTTACTGTCCCCATTTAACTGTGGGGAAACTGAAGCACAGAGAGGTTAAGTAACTTGCATAACGTCATACAGTAAGAAACCAAGCTGAGATTCAATCCTAGGCAGGCAAGCCAACTGAACATGCTCTTAACCACTTCATCCCATTTAGTTTGAGAATCTACCTTTGAATACTGACACAGGCATTCAGGAGTTTTTGCCAACAAAGCGGCATTTGTGGAAAAGGGAAGGAGTAGGGAGGAGGAGGGGAAGAGAAGACAAGACGGTAAACAGTAACATGACTGATTCCCTGCAGAGATGGTCTCAGTTGTTATTTGGATGTGTGACTTCTGCCCCAGGATGGAAAAATGAGGCTAGAGATGCACAGGACACAAAAGAAAGTAACTTCAGAGTGAGGGAAGCATGGAGTATAGTGGCTTAAGCACACAGGCTTTGCTATCAAGAAGGCCTGGACTGAATCCTAGGTCGGCCACTTAGTTTTGTGATCTTAGGGGAACTATTTAATCTCCTTAAGCCTCAGTTTCCTGCTCTATAAAATGAAGATTATAGTTCTTTTCTTATAGAGTTGTAAGGATTAAAAAAGAAAAAAAAAAAAAAGAATAAAGTGTGCCCAATAAACACAGTACTCCATAAACATTAGCTGTTGTGGTGATGGTCTTATAATTAATGGATACAATATAGACATGGCTTCATTGGAATACTAATTATTCATCAAACGAGTTGCAAATGTGACTCCTCAAAGCAGAAAAGCAGATTTGGGGAGAAGAAAAATAACTATTCCATAATCACTGAAAAGCCGGATTCACAATTTGCAGCCATTTGTCATCTCATTATTAGAACCATTAAAAAAACACTTTATCCTATTTCCAGGACAGGAAAAGCACCACTGCCTCTAAGACTAACCTATGATATTAATAACAAATGGAAGTTCAAATGAAACTCTTTTAAAAGTCTTTTAAAAATGAAATAATTCTCAACAGAAATTTTTTTTCTCAGAAGCTATAGACTTACTGCAGTTTTGTACCTTATACAATCTGTAGTAATGAACAGCGACGTCATCCAGTCGGACGGCCTCTTTGATATACTTAAGATGGGCCTCGGAAGCTGTCAGTGCAAACTGATCTTTGTGCATGTTTGGAATGTGCTTCAGGATGTAGTCCTTCCCCCTCTTGGAAACAACCTGTTGGGAGACAAGGGGTGTGCAATGCAACATTTGTTGGAGGGATGTGAGTACTACCCCCACCCCCAAAATGATGAAAGGAAGAGAATCTAAAATAGGACGTACAAACTGGCTAATCTCCATTAGAAAATTCCCACTTTTATTTTGTTTTCACCATCTGTTATGTTCTAGGCTGAATCAGCTAATACTAGAAGATACAGAGTCAATTTAGCTGTAGTACTGCATATCTAAGACGAAAAAATCCCAAGAAATAGGAAAAATAGGTTTTCTTGGCTTTAAAGTCACCAAGAAAAAAAAAACACACAAACTTGCATAATTTCATACACATCATTGTTCATATTTGCAAAAGTATCGGTACCATGAAATACTTCTACTATAGGCACATCTTAAGGTTCTGGATCTACTTAACTCTGAAAGTTACAGCCACAGAGTGGGAGGTACTAAATGTTAGTCACAGGGGACTAGAAGAAATTCTCTGAAACATTCTTGGTTCTTGCATAAGAGGCTGATATGAACACTCTGTTAGAACACTTACGAGTAAACATTTTCATTCAAACATTCATTGCAATTTACTGTGGCTTAGGTTTTTATCAGACAGTAGGCTGAGCTTTTAGATGTCAAAAATATATAGTATCTAGCAGCTACAGGCTAAGAGAAAGGTATTGATTAAAGTCTTAGTTGATTTCATGAGGACTAATTTAAAATATAGAAAGAATTAGGCAATGCGAGCAAAAAGAATAATGCTTAAAACGATCAGAATAAAAAAATTAGAGAGTTTTCAGTTTTAAAATGTCTTTACAGATACTGACATTTGGTTTCTTCCTACTGAATATTTTCCAGAGAATTAAACATGATGAATTATTGGTCAATTATCAAGTTCTGCTGAGAACTCTTCAAGTTACAGATTTTTTTTTCCCCTAGATTCCTTTTACATGGTGATCATCCAAATCAGTACTAGTCAACCTTTTTCCAGGTCAAAAACACATTGAAAATAATATTTGTAAGGGCACTGAAGTAGATGGTTTTGGTGATCCCAAGGGTGGAAGAAACTAGTATCTCAGCACAGTGGATACCATGGGATACTAATTGGGAAGTTATGATTTAAATTACCAAGATTCAATGAGTGATGACAACTAGAGAATGTAACTACATGCTACAAACAGTAAAGCTTAACACATATTATTTATGGTTTCTCTTAAGCACTGTAAAGTCAGTCAACAAAAACTTATAGAGCACCTCAATGTGAAATGCTGATGAAACAGAAAAGGTTAAGTTTATGCCTGTCCTTTAGAGCATATTAAGAAACAATTTACTGGGGCCAAGAGATAAGCAGATCATTTGAAAATAAGATGTAAAACACTTATGTCTAGGGTTTTCTTGATCCCAGAGGAGTCTGCCTAGAAGGAACCACACCTGAGCTGAGTCTTAGAGGATGGGTAGGAGTTGGCCAGGTGAAACAGGGAGAGGGGTTTCGCCGGCTAACAGAACTGTAAGGAGAAAGGGCCCAGAGGTGTGAAGACATATCAATTGCTGGATGTTGCCAGAGCATAAAGTTCAAAGTGCAGGACAACCAGACAGGAAGCTGGAAAGGCTGGCGGGGACCATGTCTTGGAGAGTTTCTAGGTTATGCTTAGGAGCTGGGCTTCACTCCACAGGCGACAGGGGAGCCCCTGAAGGATTAAATCACAAGCAAAATCATCTCATCTGCAAGCTGCATTGCAGAGTAAAAACTGAAGCAGGGACAAGCTTCTGCAATAGTGCTGCTGAGAGCTGGAACCTGGGAAACAGCAGGGCTATGATGGGTGGCGCATGCAATGAGCATTTAGGAAAGCTAACAGCAACAAACACACGACGGAACTGTATCTCTTCAGCTGGGTGATAGGTAATCCAGTACGTATATTAAAGGGTGCTGCAGCCAACTAGATGGGACGGGGAGGAGGAATGGTGATAAGGCAGAGTTCCTTGGGACTCTTAAGCACTCAGAGGGAGGAATACACAGAATTGAGGTAGGAAGATGAATTTGATTTAGGACATTCTGAGGTTGGGGCGCCTATGGAAAAATAGCTTCCTCAGGCATACGGGGAGAGAAACAGATTTGGGAGTTGCCTACACGTCGGTGGTGGTTAAAAGCATTAATATAGATGAGATCTCCCAAGATGTGAGTGGTTAGGAGTCAAGTGCAGCAGTGAGAGTCAGTGAAGAGTCCACTGTCTGTCAATCAAGAGTCCATCTGTCAATACAGAGCTCACTGGTGAGCCTGCGGGCAGCACAACAAGTGGACTGGAGGGGACAGAAGGCAGGTGGGAGTGGCTTGAGGAATACACGTGGGAGGATGGCTTGAGGAATACACGTGGGAGGAAAGAAGCTAAAAAATCAAATATACACGACCTTTCAAGATGCTTTACTGAGAAGGAAAGGCAAGAGCAGTAGTTCTTTCCGAGGATGGGTGGGTAAGACCCGGAGGAGGGACGGGAACAGAAATCAGGTGGGGTGGAGAAAGGGTAGCTGAGACAGTTCGTCTTGGAATAACCTCCAATCTCTTGCCAAAATACGGCAGTGGCTCCTCTCCTGGGAGTGAAGGACAGGGAGGCCAGAGCAAGCAAGAAGTTGACTTGTATTTGTTTTCTCAGCCCAGGGAACCATGTGAATGAGCTTTATCTTTTAAAGTGTAATGTTTTTCTCCCTTCAAAGGAGGAACGTGCTGCTCCAGTAGAAGAACATAAGATGGTCAAAGCCATGTAAATGCCAAAAGGAGGCTGGCAAATTCCAAGGCCCCCCATATTTAGGATGAACAGCAATGCCCTTCCCCATTAACTGTAAGCAGACTGAGTACATGAAGACATCGTGTGTACCATGCTCTCACGTGTTAACTTATATCTGGGCATCATGAACATGAGTCTGACTGGCCATAAACATCTGGGTTCCCATTTTTTGAAGCAGCATGAGTAGCAGCACAATGAACTAGAAATGTGCTAGAGAAAACACTCTTTAGATTTGAAAACAGTGCCTACCCAAGATGGGAAATAAGCCTCCGGCTCAAAGTATTTTCCATAGTGCTTATTCCTTTTGAAGTTCCCAAGATCCGCCTGCAGGGCAAAGGCTGCCAGCAGGAAGTAGGCCTCCTCTCGGAGCACACACTGAGAATGAAGAACTTGTTTTCTCAGGTGCCAGTAATAATAGAATCTTGCTGCTCTGTCACTAGGAAAATAAAAGAAAACAGAACTCACATTTTGATGGAACAATCCAATGGCATGTAAACAGACCCAAATCCTGCTCTCCATCTGGTGACAGGAGCCTTTCTGTCTCTGCTCCTCCCTCCCACCTCATGAAGAGGGGGAGGCTGTGGCTAATACTAGATCACTGCCTTCTGCCTTCACGAGGTCGCAGGGGCTCAGAGCTCCATGTCAGACTGACTATCCAGACAACAAAAATAACATTTCCTAAGGGATACAACATTTGATTCATTCAGAGAAGGGGAAAAACGTCTGAATCATTCCACTCTAATATAGTAAATGTTTCACTGAACAAGCATTAGAATAGAAGCTAGACATCGGTTGTATCAATTTTGCTACAATGATGCTGCACGCATGACATAAATAAGGACAAATCTGAGGGGCTATCCTGGCTTTAATGTTTTGCTGTTCTTTTTTTGTTTTGTTTTTTAGCTGAGCATGCTACAAATACTCTAAGACCCTTTTAAAATTGTTTCTGTTTATATACCCTTCTAGAAAAAAAATTTGCTTAACCGTAGTGTTCTTTTTAAAAAAAAAAAAAAATTCACTAAGAATAAATGAGGTGAAAGCTGTCTTTAAATCTGTTTTTTGGTTTTTTATTAAGTGAATGTTACTAAAGTGTTTTTATAGGCACATGCCATGACAATCCTTGTACTCCCCACGAAAGGAAATACTAATAGTGTGCTCATTACAATCCATTGAGGTCAGAAATAAATACTGTTCCCATTAAATACACTGAGTAGGAAGTGCTGACTGGGGAAAACATGGTCAAAGCTCCAAAAAATGTTCACTGGCAAATAGGACGCTTTTGTGATCAATGTAAAAATATAAGAAAAAAAGTGTGTGTGGGTATTTTAGTGAGCTTATTTGCCTCTGTATATTTTAGGTTGAATGTTTACCTGAGATTCATAGCTAATATCATTAGCAGATAATAATAAAAACATATGGATTTATTTTAAACAAGACCATGTTTAAGTAGAAAGAACTTAAAAATAAGGCATTTATGTAATTTTTCCCCTTGGGACAGAGTACTTTACAGAGCACTTCTTTTTACAGAGCCGACCACATTGTTTGGACTGGTTCCTCCCTGAGGAAAAAGGCAGAGTTACAGGGATCAATTAAACATTCATTAGCCCCAGGGGGTTAATTAACTGTTAAATAATATATGTTCCTTCTTTCCAGGGCATTCCACATTTACTAGGTAAACTGAGTAAAAAAATTATATAAACACCCATGCACTTTTACAGGAGAGTTCCTGTCCTTGCCCCAAATTCCACCCCACCACCGGAAAAGAATTTAGTCCTTTAACCAATCTCTCCATTCTTCACTAAAGTGCCGGTTTCTTCTTGAAAGAAATATCTTTCAGGAGACTGATTTGTTTATGAAAATGTAGAGTACAGAAAATGTGAGCCAGTGATACTGTTAACATTTTCGTTAATAGTCTAACATTTTCATTCATTCATTCAACTAACATTTATTCAGTGCCTATTGTTTCTCTGTTTTATGGGCTAAGGATACGTGAGTGTGCAAAAAGATTTAAAAAAAATCACTGCTCTTATGGAGTTTATATTCTAACAGGTGGTGACAAACAATAAGCACCAGTAACTTATTTGGCATGTTTAAAGAAGCGCTGTGGGAAAACAAAGGTTTAGAATCTCTCCCTGTCCTCATACCTGATCAATCTGCCATTTTCCACGTAGTACTGCACACGGAAATGGATGATCATAGGAGGCCCAAACTGATCAATACCCTAAAACAAAGACACACATAAAAATCAAGCTATTTCTAGTTACTTCAAAAATGTGTTTCAAAAGCAACCAAAATACCATTATTTGCAAGATACTTTTTAAACAATGAAAGGTTTTATCTACTTATAGTGAGTGAGGGCTTGTAGTGGGTAGAGAGTTGTCCCATCTGCATGCCAGGTTCATGTAAAATGAGGAAGTTATAAAGCAAAACAGGGCACCATCCCTCTACCTGATTCTCATTCACTGTAATGCCAATGACAACATAAGGGAAGATAAAAATAAATGCCAGTGGAAATTTCTAGCTGAGATCCAGCTCCTGGTGCAGCTCTGTCCCCTGTGGTGACCATTTGCTCCCTATTATAAATATTCTCTTGTTCTTCTGACATTCCACATACCAAATTCTATTATAATATGTTGTTTGTTTATTTAGACATTCATGTTCTTTACTTTGTAGGTGGCTTTGAAGTAGGCTTCTAGTTTATTCCAAGAATTCTTAAATAAAAATTGGAGAATCTAGTATTATTGCTCCTAACTTACAAGGGTGATCCTGGAAACACTAGGTTAATTCCCTGTGAATGTTCTTTCAGTAAATGGAACTGATATTTACTAAATAAAAGCATCAGTACGATAACAAAACATTGTTACAAAATAACAAATGTGAGTATATTAAAAAAGAATTTAAAAATTACTAATAACTTTTAGAACAATTTTGATAACTAGCATAGCCGTAGGAGAGGGGAAAATGATTTCTGCATGCTTTTCACTTCAAAGTATTATCCCAAGATTACGAAACAGTTATTATACATTATTAACAGATGTACAGAATATATTGTTATATGCTATAAGCTATTAATACTTATTATTGTGACATTTTAGAACTTATAATTCATTTCCTATTCCCATTCTCTACTGTATAAAGTATTGCTTAAGATTTTTTCCTAATGTATAACAGCAAAATTAAACAATTTTTAAAAATCAAAATAATTTTGCTCATAAATATAATCTCACCCAAGTGACTTCGTATTGTCGTACCTTGCTGGCCTCTTTCTTCCATTCTTTTGGGCAATATTTATAAAGCTTTTGAGACAAATCCATATATACATGTTCATTATCTGCACATTAAAAAAGGAGACAAGATGATAAAAAAAAGGATAGATTTAAAAAGAATATACAAATAAACAAGTTTCGTTTTTTTTTTCAAAAAAGCCTCAAGATTTGTTAATGTACTCTGAATTCAAATACTACCGAGAAAACTCAATAAGACCCTGAAAGATAAAAGGGCCTGTGGGGTAGATAGTAATGAGATTTTTTTTTTTTTTTTTTTTTTGAGATGAGGGTCTCACCATGTCACCCAGGCTGGCCTCGAACTCCTGAATTCAAACAATCCTCTCCCCTCAGCCTCCCAGGTAGCTGAGATTACAAGTGCGTGCCACTTGTGCCTGGCCAGTAATGAGATTCTTTATGAATTACTTTGCTTTTACAATACAGAGCACATACTATTAAATATATTTAAAAGAAATGTTAGTTTCCAATTCCTGCTTTTTCTTAGCTTCTAGGGTCATTAAGACTTACAGTCTAACTTTCAACAGTCTGGGCGTTACTTAGTCTTAGAAAAACATGCTTTTAGTTAGCTCACAGAAGACTGTTCTCATATGTGTGAAATTATAAAACAGGGTAGAAACACCAACTTAATTACTATTTAAGAAATTAGAAAACATTCATGATATCAGCCAATTTCCAAGTGAGATGAAGCCTGACCCACACACTTTGTGAAGAATAATCTTTAAAACTATTTCTTCTCCTTGTTCCCCACACATGAAAACACAGCATGACAAAATGATAAACTATTACTCACACTGACTTTGGGATTGATCTCATGGAAAGAGAAGAATCTTATGAAAAACAAGCACGAATGCCAAAAAATCCCTCGAGGGGATGATGTTCTTAAGGTGCACAGAAAATAAGACTGCTAAAACCTATGGAAAAATGATCTAAACATGAAAAGGAGCTGGCGAAAAACAAACATTTTCAGATTTTCCAAAGAGAACCTTTTAAGAGAGACATATTTCACAAGAGAAGCCTTCAGCATTCTTATCTTGTACAAAGTTTTAAATCTTTTTTTTAAAAAACATTCCTTTTTCTCTAACCATCAGTAAGGGGACATCCTCATGGAAAGCTCCACATAAAAACGTACTCATTCTGGAAGGGAAGTGTGTCTCTTTGACTACTCCAACTTTGTTAAACGTACTTTGTTACACGGTGACTCCCAGCTAAGTGTTGGGATTTGTCCGGAAAAATGCCATTAGAGAGTAGGAAGGGTAAAGCTACTCTCTGGCTATAAATTGCACATTAAGTCAACCAATTTCAATGAAAGGGATAAGGAAGAGATCCCAGAACAAAAAAAAGGGGGATGCTACTTAAATCCAGTTATCAGATCAACGAACACTATCCCGTCTCTCATATTACAGGTTAAACATGAAATGGACAAGACCAGACAATCTTCCTGTTGAAACTGTTTTGTGTTTGGCTTGAGTTCCTGTCTGAAGAAGCAACATAATGAACTGAATTGAGACTGTTCACCACAATAGCACATCTATATTTTTAAACTACCACTATATCTCTACCATAAGTTGACCAGAGCTTTATACCTTAAGAATTCTCAAGCACACACCAGTTCCCAAAGCCAGTGGAGCAGTAATTTCTATTTAACATGTGGAAAAAAACCCCTGACATTGAGAGATGTCAAATACTGTGTCCAAAGCCACACTGCTAGTTAGTGGTAGAACCAGAATTTAGAATCAGCTCATCTGATTCCTGTTCTAATGTTCTTTCACCATCCTACAATCTCTTTTCTGAAAAGGATATCTTAGCTGTTATTTTGAAACCTAAGGAAACTGTAAACTGGTTTTATTGGACTGACTTGTTGAACAACAAAGATCAACAGTCTGGCTATAGTTGTAATAAGAAGAATTAACTTCAAGCATAGAGTAATGAGTTACTTAGAATCTTATGGCATCTTATTGCTCCTAGACCCTTCCTTGATAAAATGAGATATGTACCAACACTAGGATGGAGCTTAGCATTTGTGTTTTTATTGCTTTAACAGCCGCAGGAAGAAACTGACGAGCAAATGGCTGATTCAAGGGTCCTTGCTACATGCTCTTTAGCCTGCCCTAAAAAGTCAACTGAAAACAGTTCACATTTTGGGGAAGGGGCCTTGTTTATCAGCTGACCATGATACACCTTCCAACTTGGCAACTGTAAGCATTTTATGGTATTGACCAAATCCTCAAAGTATCTTAAGCCTTTAAACCAATTCCAGTAACAGAAAACAATCGCATTCAAGTATAAAATATAATTAAATACATTTCACACACAAAAAAATCTTGACACAATGAGCAAAGATATGAAAAGTTTTTGGCATAAAAAGACTAAATTAGAGAAATTTAAACGTATGATTTGAAAGAAGAAAGCTTATAAAGAATGGCTACAGGTTAAGTCCTAGGAATCTAACTCTTTAACTAAGGCATTATAGGGGAAGAAAGGTCCAATGGAGTCCTTTACTGGAAAATCTTCTCCACATAAAGAATACAGAAGAAACTGACCCTATATTTCAAAGTCATGTAGTCTGACTGGAAAAAAAGAGAAGAGGTAAGAAATAAAGGAAAATAAGATTACATTAACAGATCACTTTGTTATACTATACAGTCAATAACAAGAGAACTTGAAAAGCGGAAAGTCTAATGTTAAAAATTATAACATAAATTAAATTACAAATATATCTAGGATACTTTCCTACTAGTTCCAGATGTTTCCTGAATGCAAGGAAACAAAAATCAAGCTTAGTTCACTAAAACATGAAAAGAGCAAACACATAAAATCTAGATTCCTAAAGAGGAATCAATTTTTAAGTTCAAACTATAATAAAAACAAGGCTAACATCCTAAATCTTATAAGAAATACACAGTAGTCGAGATTAAAAAATGTATAGTAGACTAAAAATGATTATCAGTTTATGGATATTTTGATAACCACAGTTTTATAACAAGATGCCAAATTTAAGTTACAGCTATAAAATGTCATTTCCTCAGGGATAGTTGGCTACATCCAGCAGAGATGGGACTAAGACTTACTTTGTATAACACTGAGTCCAAAGAGGTGACAGTCCTTTAGCCTGAGCAGGTCACAAACCTGGACCAGCAACTGGTGACAAAGAATTTTAACCTGTAGGGGAAAAAAAGCATGATTGAGATAACAATTCAACTAAGTCTACATAGGGAGCCACAATCAGGCAATTTAAAGCACAAACATGTGTCTTGAAAGGACAAGCTGACACTAGCAAAACTACTGTTGGTTTATCAAAATCACTTTAATCTTTGGCGGTGTTTCAGTAATGATTATCGCAATCCCAATTTTTACAACATGGTAATAAAGCACCAATGCATTCTTGCACAAGACTCATAAATCTTACGATACACGGACAAGGCTCTCAAACCACGGTACATGATGAGTATTTCAGAAGGTACAGAGAACAGTCTATTCAGACTACCAAAAGTATTCATTTGACAAGTATCTTTTATTTTTTAAAACCTTTTATTCATTTTTTTAATTGACTAATGACAATTACATATTTATCATGTATAACAGGATGTTTTGATACATGTATACACCGTGGAATGGCTAAATCAGACTAGCACATGCGTTACCTCACATATGCATCATTTTTTTTATGGTAAAAACACTTAAAATTTACTCTCAGCAATTTTTAAGTACATAATACATCATTATTAACTATAGTCACCATGTTGTACAATAGATCTCTTGAAATTACTCCTCCTAACTGAAATTTTGTATCCTACGACTAACATCTCCTCAATCCCCCCACCTCTGGTAACCACCATTCTACTCTCTGCTTCTACGAGTTAGACTTTTTTAGATTTCATATATAAATGAGATAATGCAGTATTGTCTTTCTGTGTCTGGCTTATTTCACTTAACATAATGTCCTCCAGGTTCATCTGTGTTGTTGCAAATGACAGGATTTCCTTCTTTTGTGAGGCTGAATTATATTCCATGGTGTATATATACCACATTTTCTTTATCCATTTACTCATTGATGGACACTTACATTGATAATATAGCTTGACCATTATGACTAATATTGCAATGAACATGGAAGTACAGATACTTCTTTGACATAATGACTTCATTTCCTTTGTACACAAACCCAGGAGTGGGACTGCTGATCATGTGGTAGATCTAGTTTTAATTTTTCGAGGAACTTCCATACTGTTTTCCATAATGGCCATACTAATTTACATTCCCATCAACGGTGTACAAGGTTCCCTTTTTTCCACATCCTCACTGACACTTGTTCTCTTTGGTCATGTGTGTGTGTGTGTGTGTGTGTGTGTGTATGTACGTATTTATTTATTTATTTATTGTATGTGAGACAAGGTCAAGCTCTGTGCTCAGGCTAGAGTGCAGTGGCTCACTACAACCTCCAACACCCAGTCTCTCAAGCAATCCTCCTGGCTCAGCCTCCTGAGTGAGTAGCTGGGACTATAGGCTCATGCCTCTGCACCTGCCTAATTTTTAAAATTTTTTTTAGGGATGGGGTCTCACTATGTTGCCCAGGCTGGTCTGGAACTTGTGGCCTCAAGTGATCTTCTTGCCTCAGCCTCCCAAAGTGCTGGGATTACAGACACGAGCCACCTCTGGCCTCGTCTTTCTGATAGTAGTCATTCTAATAGGTGTGAGGTGATATCTCATGTGGCTTTAATTTACATGTCTCTGAGGATTAGTGATGCTGAGCATTTTATTTTATTTTTGCTTGTTTTTATTTTTCTAGTCTGCTGGTCCTGAATTGCTGGCCTCAAGTAATCCTCCTGCCTCAGCCTCCTGAGTAGCTGGATGAGCATTTTTTCGTATATCTAATTGGCCATTTGTATTTCCTCTTTTGAGGAATGTCTACTTAGGGCAAGTATCCTTTCAAGGAAAGTTTTCCTCTTGATGGTCTATGCAAAATATCACATACTATACAATGAGTGCCTGCCTAGTTTTTATTTATTTATTTTAATCAACTACTGTTATTGTCTAGTATCTTTTTAGTACCTAAACCATATTCCTTTTCTGAGTCCTAGTATAATTCAACCATAAAACCTTATTAACTTGGAACTCCGGAAATAAGTTACTCGGACAAGTCAAAAGTTGAATTATAAGAGAGTCTCTAAAACACATAATTTTAATGCTTTCTCAAATATTTAACGAAGTGTTGTGGGGGCAGTAATTCTGCTGAGTCTATCTTGTTGACTTGAGAATCAGAAAAGTTTATTAGAGTTGGCATTGACTTCAAGAAACTACCCAAGTCAATTTCTTCATTTTATAGAAATAGAAAATAAAACTCAGAAAGTTTAAAGTTATGTAGCTAGTAGTGGCAAAGACAGCAACGCACAACTCATTTGTGTATCAAAACATTTTATATATGTACATTAAAACATGTGCAACATGACAGTTTATCATTTTAGCTATACACATCACTTTTTCCACATTCATTATTAAATGGCAACCAACCTGAGCATCTTACCCACTGGAAAGAGCAAAAGATATTTAAGGCCAGAGCAGAACCAAGTCAGCTGCTTAGAAGCACCAGGAACTCAAGCTGGAACAGTGTCTTATTTTCAGGATAAATAACAGGCACTCAGTAACTGTTTGATGAATGAAAGCCACATATCTGACTCCCTGTGGGCTCCTCTGCATCTTTGTTCTATGATACACACTACTCCCTGACTTACTGAGCAACCATTTTATAAATGTGCCATTCAACAATTTAGGAAAAACGTATCAATGCAAACCCACCACCACCACTGAGAGAACACATTTGCCAGTGGGGAATCACTATCATCCTCTTTGTATATAGCTAGCATGATTCCACCCACTTGAGATCCTTGATTTCTGTCCTATAGAAGTCCTATGTTATTTCCAACACTGACTAAAAAGACTCTGGATTTTGAGTTCCATCCTACCATAATTCCATTTTATAAATAAGCTTAAATAAACAATGATAAAGAAAAGGAGAGGCTGGGCACAGTGAGTGGCTCATGCCTATAATCCTAGCACTTTGGGAGGCCAAGGTGGGAGGATTGCTTGAGGCCAGGAGTTCAAGACCAGCCTGGGCAACATACCCCATCTCTACAAGAAATTTTTCAAAATTAGCCGGGCATGATGGCGCATGCCTGTAGTTCAGGAGGCTTAGGTGGGAGGATAGCTTAAGCCTAGAAGTTCAAGGCTCCAGTGAGCTATGATGGCACCACTGTACTCTAGCCTGGGTGACAGAGCAAGACTCTGTTTCTAAAGAAAATTTAAAAGTAAAAAAAAAAAAAAAGAAGAGGAGAAAGTACCAAATGCCGTATAAAATTCTTAAGTTCAACTATACTATAAATTTGAGACTTAAAATGTCATATTGTTTAGAGCACCTTAAAGCTTAGTTTGACTGCATTTAAAAAATGTTGGACGCAAAGCAGCCAGGACAAAAATATAATAAAAAGTTAAAATTCCAAACCACAAACTAAATGTACAGGAAATAAACTACGTTGTAACTTTATGTGACTGTAGTCCAAATAATACCCTACATTTACTCCATGCATCCCATATAATTATTGTTCCGCTAGTTTAAATCAAGCATTTGGAGCCTACTGATAAAGCTCTTTAACAACTATCAAATAAGTACAGTGTACTTGTTTAAAAACTATAATTAAATAAGGCTGTGGCTCTGAAGTCTTACCTGCTGTGAAAAGAAGCTTGAGGTTTCTATATTTGCATATTATGAGTTTTTAAGGCTACATTTTAGCTGATTGTGAAATTTCTCAAGTTCTTTAATCTTCAGAAGCAATGGAAACCTTAAAAAGTGCCATATAGTATGAGGTATTAAGAGTATGAGTTAAAGCTTTATCCAAAAATATACTCTATATGGAACTTTTAAACTAAAACAGCATTTGATCCTTTCTGAACGTCAATGGTTATTGTGCAAAAAAGTCCAAAATATGCTGTAGAAAAAAAAAGAATTCTTCACTCTAGTTCTTAGTGAAGATGTAGATGCTCTTGGCCCTAATTTATATTACTTAAAAAACTTTATGGCTTTGATATTTACCATGATGTTATTTAAAAAATTTTCCAAATTTCCATATTTAAAATAGCTCCAATTAGTACAACTCATGTGGAATTCAGAATGACCAAAACATTAAATTTATTCTACATGCAAAAAGACAACATTCTATCAACTACACTTGTAAATGATGTAAATAATGATTATTACTGACAACAACCAACATTTACTTTGTGTTTGCTATGTATCATGTACTGTTCTAAGGGCTAGGCTACTGACATAATGCCAAAAACAAAATCCAGTTAATAGACTTCTGGGGAGTGAAAGGAACTAAGTGGTGCTGGTACACATATCTTTGCCTGTTTGGCTCAAGATTTTAGCATATCTATAGCATCTATTTAGGGGATCTGGTTAAATGCAGATACCTATATCCTACCTTAGACTTCCTATATCAGCATTTTTAAGGAGTGAGGTCCAACAATTTGAATAGTTAGTGATCTCTGTCAAATAATTATGATGTCCATTTAAATTTCAAAACCACTAATCTACAGAACAAATGAACTGGCCATCTTCCAGTCTGTTCTCTCCTTCCTCTGCTGAGATCCTAGTACAGATTATTTGAAAATTATAGTCAGCTTTTACTATTCTTCACTAAGTCCGATTAGCCCTTCCTTCACTTAACTGCAGCTAGGGGGGTTTTATTCCATATCCTTTATGTACGTACACACACACACACACACACACAAACACACACATACATATTCCACTGGGTGAAAAGACAGAAATTGGAAGTGAGAGAAGTTTCTTAAGTGCTTATGCTATATGCCCTGGATTATATATAGTTTAAAAATTCAGTGGATATTTTGCTATGTATCATGTATAAAAGAACTCAAAAACGGCATATTCACATCTGTAAGTAGAATTATATTTTAATTTATTTTGCCAGTGCCCACACTGAAAGAGATACGTTGCCAATTTTTACTTGGTTTTAAAAACAAAATGCTGTTAAAATAATAGCCTACCACCTCACACATCCAAAAACAACTTCAGGTACTCTGAGCAGGAATGTAGCTAATCACTGGAAATTCTGCCTAACAGATGATAAAGTTCATCCAGTAGCTAAGTTTGATGCTCAGACAATCCCTCTGAGTGAAGACGAGGATACATTAGAAAATCAAGAACCTGTGCTCATCGTCAGAATAAAGCCGAAATGATTATGGTAATAAGCAGAACCTTTTTCTATCTAAACTTTTTAATGAAGCTATTTAAATGTCGTATAACATTTAGAAATACTCTTTTATACAGCAATTGGATTAAAAATATAGCAGCATATAGGAAAGAAAACTAATTCAAGGCATACACTAAAGCAATTTTTCCCTAATTCCATCAGAATACCATTTGTGAAAGAAAGAATACAAGAGTTAATAAAATAGAGAAGGGTCAAAAAATGCTAGTCATGACATCGATTACTGTAAGATTGTTTGGCAGGCTCTGCCGAGGCTAAACATGTATATAGCCTATGATTCACAAATCCACTCTTGAGTATAAACCCGGAAATGTATATACATGTGCATACACATAAAATGTTCATCATAGTTTCACTCAAAATAGCCCCAAACTTAAAACAACCCAATATCCATCAACAGTAGATGGATAAATGAACTGGGCATATTCATACAATGAAATATCACACAACAATGGAAAGAATTACTGTCACATGAAACAGCATAAATGAATTTCACAGGCCAAATGTTGAGTAAAAGAAGCCAGACACATAAGAGAACATAATACATAATTTAAGCTGCATGAAGTTCACAAACAAGTGAAACTACTCAATGGTGATACAGGCTGGAATAGCTGTTACCCTCTGGGTGGAGGTTATTGACCGGGAGGGTAGTAAAGGATCTTTCTGGGGTGCTGGAAATGTTTTATATCTCAAGCTGGTCATGCTTACGCTCATGTACACACTTGTAAACAGCTGCACTTAAGCCATGACGCTAGGTTTAGTCCTGTATAGACTATTTAACACCCCAATTCTGCCACATTATTATTGGTCTCATTCTATAACGTCTTTACCCTTAACCAAGCCATAACTTGAATGTGGTCACTGGCAAAAACATTGTATTTAAACATTTCTAAAATTGGATCTACTCACATTTATGATGATGTTCAGAGATTCATCATTGGGAAGGAAAATACACACACTCCGGCGGTCTTGCATGACTCTGTTGTTATGGAAGTTCAGTTTGTTCATTGTGTTGTGGGCTCTCCAGTAGTCAGGGCTGGGCTCTGAGTTCTCCGCAATTCCTCAGGTTCCCAGCACTCCAAAGCCAAACTCTCCTCCTCATCACATATCCTACAGGAGAAGCATGTGTTCAGCTACGTAGGTTTCATAGCTGTAAAAAAAAAAGCCCACATGGAGGCTCATGAATAAAGGCCGTGAGACTGGTGAGGAGAGCAGAGCACAACTGCTCTTGTGAGCACAGAGACAGCATGTCTCAAGCCAGGGATGCCTAGTTTAATACGTGAGAACTCACTGAAATTTATTCTATATTTTGACCACGAATATTATTTTCAAACTTTCATTCACAGTCAGGAATTAAACTCAAAGCCAATGAGAGCCTCAAACGTTCAAGGCCTCAAACGCACTGCAGGGCTCACAGAAACAGAGGTCTTGCCACTGAGAAGTTTCCAGTCTTATGAGGGAGATAACAAAGCGTTCTGAAAACAAACAAAATGACAAAGACAGCAGCAACAAAATACTCGCTCTTTTTCTTCCATTACTATGGAACTAAAATAAATGTCTTGGCTCTTACATTATGTTCATCTTCAGCCACTGTGGTCTGGCTTCCACTTCCTTCTCTTTACCAACGTGGCTCTGCTAAGGGAAGCCCGCGAGCTCTAGACCCTTGTAGTATCCGTAGGACTCATTTAACTGATCTCTTTACAATATTTGCCATGTTGTTTAGCCCTCCTTACAATTTTCTTCTCCCTTAATTTTTATGGTGCTGTTCTCTCCTGATTCTCTAACCTGATAAGGCAAACTTAACTTTTCTATTTATTATTTCACCAACCAATTAACACATAGATATAACAAGACTGGGCATATCAAATCATGTTTGTGTGTAAAAAGGACTATGGGTTTTGGATACCTCTCATATCTAATTAGTCTCATTAAACATATTAGCTTTATTTTTTAACTTCTTTCAGGTTTTTTTTTTTTTTTTTTGAGACAGAGTCTCACTCTTTTGCCCGGGCTAGAGTGTCATGGCGTCATCCTAGCTCACAGCAACCTCAAACTCCTGAGCTCAAGCGATCCTCCTGCCTCAGCCTCCCGAGTAGCTGGGACTACAGGCATGTGCCACCATGCCTGGCTAATTTTTTCTATATATTTATAGTTGTCCGATTAATTTCTTTCTATTTTTAGTAGAGACGGGGTCTTGCTCTTGCTCAGACTGGTTTCAAACTCCTGAGCTCAAACAATCCGCCCGCCTCGGCCTCCCAGAGAGCTAGGATTACAGGCGTGAGCCACCGCGCCCAGCCTTCTTTCAGGTTTTTAATGTAAACAATTGTTTGCAAGTAATAAAAATTTTATCTCCAATTTTCAATAATCACACTTATTATTTGTTTCATATCTAATTGCACTGGTGTGACCTTACAGAATTTTAAAGCAGTAGATATTTCCTACTTTTAATGAGTGTGTCTAGTTTCACATATTGCTAACGGAACAGTATTCAACCAAGATATGTCAAGACTAGTTGTCTGTCAAACCATTAGTATTTACATTATTCCTTTCCAGATACATCTGTAGGATGTGAAAGACAGTTTCCAGGAATATGGAACTCTTTCACTAGGCAGAATATACATAACCATACAGTTTTCACAGAAAAGATATTGTCAGTACTCATGTAAATCAAAGCATAAATGAGAATCTTGGCCTATTTGCTTCTTAAGGTTAAGTGTCTATCTCTTATCAGCAGGGTGGGAGAGAATATATTCTTAAATAGATGGCACAGTGAATAAATATAATTTTGTAATTCTTTTTAAAGTATAAATAAAACACCAACCACAAGGGAACTACTCAAAACTAAATAAAAACAAATCATAACCGTATATGTAGTATTTTCTTATTAGGAAGGTGACCAAAAAGCTACTTAGGAGTATTCTGCTTTTCTTTTCTTCTTCTTTTTTTTTTTCTGTTTTGTTTTTGGAGACAGGGTCTCACTATGTTGCCCAGGCTGATCTCAAACTCCTGGACTCAAGTGATCCTCCTGCCTCAGCCTCCTGAGTAGCTGAGACTGTAGGCTCACACCGCCATGCCTGGCTTGCTTTTCTTAAAGAATAATTCCATAGTAGGTTACAGTTAGCCCATCATCTCATGGAGTCATTGGCAGTCAGTGCCACAGTTCTCTCCAAAATGGATGGTTAACCCATGTGTTCTATGACCACAAAATAACTGAACCCCAAAATCCAATCGCCCATCTAAAGAAATACATGCTTTTAGTTCAAAACAGTTGGACTGTTAGCTGCATCAGAATCGCCTGGGTGTGTGTAATAAATACAGAATCCTGAGCACAGTGACATACCTACTCATGTAGAAGCTCCAGGAATAGGGTCAGGTATTTCTGTATAGCCATGTTTTGAAACCACCATTTTACTCAACAGGGGGAAGGTACTGAGTAGAGGGTTAGATATAATATGTTGGGAAAATATCCTAAAGAATTAGGGAGAAGCAACATATATGAATGATATTACGTATCACCATAACTTAAAAAAAAAAGGCCTCAACATTGTCAAAGGTATAAATTCCTAAAACAGGTCAAATTTGTGTACTTAGAACATTTTCCTGAAAAATGTTACTTGGTAATCTAGGGATAAATAAGTTTACAAAGTACCACACCCTATATAAGCCTGCTCTTAGAAATTCAGAAAGTATTAGAGGCTCTGAGAAATTCCGCAGGCAACTTCTTAAATTTAATGTAGTATTTCTCAAACTCACTCAAACACAGAAGGCCTTTTTTATCTCCAAGGCATACCCATTAGGGTCCTGTAGAATACATGATATTCTTAGGTAGATCATTTAGAAATACAGTTCTAAATGATTACCTTGTCAAATATTAATATTTCATAGCAAAATTTTTCCACATGTATTGGTATATTCTAACACTTAGGCCTCCTTTTTGCTATATAAAATCTGTTCAATAAGAAATTATAAGCTTTGATTAAATGTATCTTATTTAAATTCAAACCCTTAAATATTAATAATATTAATCCCAGTATAATTCTTATTTAAATCTATGTTTCAAATTGAGTTAGTCCTGCAATTTTTCATTTCTAATTAAACTAATTAAAGCAGGGTATTCCTACTGACCTACTTTCTAGAATTTAAAAAATAAACTAGGAAAAAAATTTATCTTGTGTGGTTTGGGATGTTTCCAGAGCTTCATTAAAATAACTTGAAAATTTCATTTGGGTACAATTTTTATTTATTTTATGGTGAAAATACTTCTTTTGCAGCACAAAAGACTAAAAGAGGATTACCAAAGCAAATTTAATAGAAGCAGAGTACATAAGAAACAGTGCTGCTTCACTGTTGCTTTTTCTGCTTTGAGAATGGCACACTAGAAGAGCCTGTAAAGAGAGACATTAAGTTTTTACTTTACTCAGGACAGCATTAAAGCTGATTAAAAGGTTCCGCTCAAGTAGCAAAAACAACCACATCTCTAATACGCACCAGTATAAAATTTAATCTTAAATTGGGCAGTCCTGGGGAAAAGAATTAGACTAAATTTATATCAATTTGAATTGTAGAAAACAGCCTCACAGCCATTAGCTACTTATCCTGTGTCCTAAGCTAAATTCTAACTCAGTACCAAGAGGCCATACTTCCTACTCTGGGGCAACCCTTTTCTGTCCAATGACCTTAGGATAGATTATTTATGAAGGACAAACCATGTTGTAAAAACTTATTTTCCAGACAACAAAAAAACCAGCTTTAACAGTGATCAAACTCTGCCCTGCCATCTTTATTAATACCCAAGATACAAACACAACATGTTAAGCTGTACAACTCCCTCACTTGAATTTTAAGCCCACATTAATATAGGTCCCTTGTTTCCTGGTAAGCCCCATTGGTGACAAAGTTACTTAGTTTCTTCTATGAATCAGGAAGCCACTACCCATGGACATTCAGCACTGATTTCCATTTTTTAGAAATTGTGGAAAATAAGCTTTAAAACTGGGTCACCACTGCATAAAAGTATGGACTTTAACTGTAATGTATCAATTCTAGTTCATTAGTTGTGACACATGTACCATAATTATGTGAGATGTGAGCAACAGGGCAAACTGGGTGCATGTCAGGTACACAGGAACTCTCTCTGTACCATCTTTGCAACTTTTCTATAAATCTAAAACTTTTCTAAAACAAAAAGATTAAAAAAAAAAAAGTAGGTCAACAGAAATTTCCCACCCACATAATATAGTATCATATTTGCTGGAGGTAAAGGAGGGTTCTCAATTCTAGGATTTCTCCCTAAAAAAGTAAAAAGATGGTAACTTGGCAAGGTTACTATAAGGCAAACATGATTAAGTAGGCATTGTCAACAGTCAATACACTATCTTTATTACCTAACAAAAACAAGGCAAAAAAATTATCCTGAAAATTGGATTGCAGAGAGCCCTATCTTCTAATCATTACACATTTATAAATCTCACATTATGCACACAGTACCGTAATACTTATTTGTTGAAAGGCAGAATACGAAAGCAATAGATATTCTCCCTACACCCACAAGTTCAGCATCTGGTTAAGGACACAACACTGCCAAGAAGCTTAAGGTGATAGTATTGTCCCTGATTCCTAAGAGCACACATGCTCTGATGGACAACTCTCATGTCAACCTCAAGGGATGATACAGTGGACAACAGCATTAAGTATGTAAATACTGTGCTACCAACATTGTGGCTAAGATCACTTTGAAATAAAACAGTATGTCATCTTTAATGTATTGTATCCTATCCTAGAAGTGGGGGTATCAAAATGCCTTTGGTAAAATGAGTTGTGTTTTTTTGTTCATTTGTTTGTTCATTCATTCAACATATACGCATTAAACACCAACTATGTGCCAAGTGTTAAGTGCTGGGTATACAGCACTGAACAAATACCCTGCTCTAATGGAGACAGACAATAAACATATAATGTATGTCGTCAGTGACATGTACTAGGAAGAAAGATAAGTCCAGAGTAGGTGAGAGAATTGATAGAAATAAGGTTGTGGTCTGGATGCTATTTCATATAGGGTAATCAGGGGAAGCATCTCTGATGAGTCAATATTTGGGCAAACATCTAAATGAAGAGGGATGTTATTTCCTTCCTTCCATCCATTTATCCCAG